TGAAAACATGCATTTTTTTTACAGTATAAGGCATTGATAATCTTTTTTGTTTTTATACCCTAGTGTTCCGAATATAAAACAACCCCTCTTTTTAAAGTGTACTTCTAAAAATGCATTTTGGAGACCATCTTCATTTTTTTAAATCAAACTACATGCTTTAATTTGAAAATACTTTATATGGCAGTAGGCCAAAAAATTTTTTTTTTTTAAATATGTACATCATAAAACATTCTTAGAACACCTCTGCTTCAAAACAGAAAGTAAAAAGATGGATTTTAAGCAGCAAATGCATCACATTTGGCACTTACCCACTAACTACTAGTGGTGGGAAGAGTACAGAAAAATCATACTCATGTAAAATTACCCTTACTTTCCAATGAACGTAGTGGTGGAAATAGGAGTCAAAATATCTGTTATAAATACTACTCAAATTATAGAGTAAAAATAATCCCTTCTGAAAAGCACTTGATTACTGTTTGTAATTCAAGTTGAATTATTTGCTATTCATGGACTATATATTTATACAATAGTTCTGTCTGGTTCTTGAATCTGACTGGCTGATAGCCGTGCTACATTCTGCAATATCAGAACTTATTCAGCCTCCTCACCCTTCTGTATTACTCTGCCCACATAGTGACAGCAGATCAATAAACTCATTACTGTTTGACAAATATTGCAGCTGTTGGACAACATAATGTACTTTTGAGGCTTTTTAGTCAATAATGCAGTTGTTTAGATTGCATGTATGCAGTTTATTTATAAGGATAGTGCCTATTTTAAATTATTATAATTTCTGAGATACAGCGCATCGACATCCATCAGCTTGCCATTGAGCAGAGCAAAGACGATTGATGTTGTCTATCTACAAGATGGCAACAGAGACTGCATAATAAGCACTTAAAGGAAAAAAAAATGTATTTTCAAATAGCTGTTCAAAACATTACAAAATTGATGAGACATTCTAACTCCATCTTTCTTTTTTTATGTTGTAGTGCTCTATTTATATCAAAGTAATTGTAGTGTATTGAGTATGAGATGGGACTCGCATATCAGGAATGTGTGTATTTTGTGTTCTTTTTGTATCTGCTTGTTAAATGTGACATCACGCGAAGTGGCTTCCGGGTCCAAGCACTCTATTTAACTGTATGGGGAGGCTCATCAAATGGTGATAATAAACGTTAACAAAACGTTTAATACTTTGGAAAATCATGATCGCAATATATTTATCAATGTCTAATATTAGATGGCTAGAAAGTATTGCATTTTTTATAAATTGTTAAAATGTTGGCATTTGTGATGCAGCAAATCCAGAGACTGTTGTGCACACCATGATTTTATAGAAAATTAACTTTAATGTGTAATTTGACTTAAAAGTGGTCATAAACATATATTTTCTCAATTCAAATAAGTAGGGGCTTTGACCCGAAAGCAGTATTCCATGCGTCAGCTATACGTCATGATTTAAAAAGCGAATAACCCAGAGTTACTCTTTGGTTGGCTATCTGTTTGTTTCTAATGAGTCTACTGTTTTCATTACTGCAGACTAGTTCAGTAAACAGAAAGAAAGAAGAAATGCCTGCATGTGTTTAGCATTTTACTAATCGCAAACACAACAGTAATCTGGTAGTGATTGCGTTGCTTTGGGTTTTTCTGGGTTGATTATTGTGATATCGTGATTGCAACAGAGAAATGCTGGGAGATATCTCTGTAGACTGATGGCATTTCATGTTGTTCAGCCTTATAATCTTAATGTCTGCAAAATAATATTTTTTGTCATCACTTTAGATGTTATGCTAGAGAATCATTCAAATACTAGCTCTAAAATGACATTTGTAAAGTAGCAACGATTTCTACTGTGCTTTTAGTCATCTTCAGATGTTAATGAATGGCGGGAGAAAGTAGTTTCTCATACCAAAGGGTTTTTACACTTTCCGTGTTTGATTTTCTTTTTATATACACTCATGCTGTCATACTGTTGTATAAACAATAGGGCAATAGGGCACTTTGCCGGCGGCCTTGTGCTTATGCACCTCGTGCTTATCCCACCAGTGCCGATATACAGCCGTATCGTACTGCTCTTCGTGTTATCCTAAAACAATGTCTAGAAAGAGTCTGAGTTTGAATTTAAATCTGCTGTAAGGAGATAACGCATCATACATCCTCTCAAAAAACAAACAAACAAACAAACAAACAAACAAACAAACAAACAAACAAACAAAAAAAAGACTATAGAAAGCAGATTAATGTTTTACATGCTGGACAAAATCCTGCAGGGGGCAAAAATCTTGCTGTGAAAATCAATTTAACTTCAGACTATTTATGACCTTACTCGGATAAAGGGAAATAGGTAAACATATTTACATGACCATGTGCATTGTCCGCATAATCAGGTTTAAGAATGTGCATGTAAACACACTCCGATCATCTGAGATCAGCTACCAATATAAACATGGCCATCATGATTTGCACACTGTGTGTATTTATACCACTTGTTGTTTACTTTTAGCATCTGACAAGAGTGTTTACTCCCAGAAACTGACCCAGAACTGTCAGACTTAAGAAGTGTGTATTGGATAGTCTGCGTTGCTGTAGTTTTTTATGCTTTCTTTGTAAGTGGCTCCTATCAAATCTTTATGTCTCTCAAATTTGAACCCTTATTGCCGTTGTCATGGCAACATCGCTGACATCATGCCAACATAAGAGGGAGCATTCGGTTACCAAGGAGAGACACGACAAAAAAAAAAAACTTTCAACCCACAGTAGGCTGACCTGACACACACACACATTGATCATTTTAATGCATTTGATGACCTTTTTACGCATGCTTGTTTGGTTTTAATGGAATAATGTGGTCCCGCTTGACTTTTTTTGTAACATTCAATTTCGCAAACTAGTAAATTGTATTAAAAGTAAACACAGTCAGCTGCTTACAATTGACTGTGAAAGAAAAGCATTGACTTTGTAGGTCACACACACACACACTTTGGTCACGTTCACAATAGCACGCTATTGGTGTTATTTAAGTACACTAGAGTTATAAGTGTGTTGCTGTGAAGAATGTCAAATTTGATCCTAATGTGTATTTAACATGCTTTATAAATATGTTAGTGACCATTACATGTATTTCTATAACAATTAGATTTTTTTTTACGTTCTGCCAGGATGGTGCTGTAAAACAAACCATCAAACAAAAAAAAAGAAGCAACAAAAACACTTTATTATATTATTTGGAGGTTTTTGAATATATAATATATTTTTATATAATATCCTGAATTTTTATATATACACAGTATGTTTGATATTTGATAATATTTCTTTTTCTGGAGAAAGTCTTATTTGTTTTTTTTTTGTTCTTTTTTTTTTGTCTTTTTTTGTCTAGAATAAAAGTAGTTTTTAATTTTTTAAACACCATTTTAAGATCATTAGTCCCTTTAAGCTATATATATTTTTTTGACAGTCAACAGAACATTGTTATAAAATAACTTGCGTAATTACCCTAACCTGCCTAGTTAACCTAATTTACTTAGTTAATTATTTAAATGTTACTTTAAGCTGTATAGAAGTGTCCTGAAAAATGTCTAGCAAAATATTATTTACTGTCATCATGGCAAAGTTAAAATTAATCACTTATTAGAAATGAGTTATTAAAACTATTATGTTCAGAAATGTAATAAAATCTTCTCTTCGTTAAACAGAAATTGGGGAAAAATAAACAGGAGGGCTAATAATTCTGACTTCAACTATATATAGAGGCAATTGTATTTTGTATGGTTTTGTCATGACGTTGAAATATAGAGAAAACTGATTCTTAACTATTAAAACTGTGGCGCCCCCTATTGGACTATTGAAAACAGTTCACATTATTGTGTGTCCATATAGCATCTGAGAAGAGGAGAATTATGGGGATGGTTAGGACAATGTCATTTCTAATGTAATGGAACATTTTGTTTGTTTGTTTAATTGCTAATCTACAGAAATACAGCAATGAAAAGTTTGACTTTGTTTTAAATGAATCAGATTTTTTCTTAAAAGTACTGTACTTGTTCTGTCACATGACAAATAGAAGACAATGCAGAGACATCAGTGAGCAAATGGAGGCAAAGGTAGACTAGTGGGTTCAGCACTGATTCCAGTGTGTTATAATTTTGATTGTTTTTTATTGTAATAGGTTATTTAAATATGTATACTGCATTAGTTAATATGATTTAAAGTAATGTTTTCTATTTATTTTTAACTATTTTGTACAAAAAAAAGTTGGAAACTACCAATGGCAACTGTATAATTACCTTCGGCCCACATCTCTCAATGATATTTAAATTTTGCCCCTCATAGGAAAAAGTTTGGGCACTCCTGGTCTATAGAAAAAAAAACAACAACAGTACTTTATGCACTTTTATTGTGAATGAATGAATGAATGAATGCTACCCAAGGAAGAAAATATTGTGTAAGGAATTACTGTGTGTTTTATGATTGGGCATGCAGTTTCCTATGAAAAAATTCCTTTCCAAAGTTTGTACCTCACTAACTGGATTAACAGCTTGCGAGTTATTTAGAATTATAGGAGAAATTTAAAGCATGTATCAAATTGTTATTTTAAGTACGTCAGTCTGCATATAGATGTCTGAGTTTAAAAACAAATGTAAAAGAAAATAAATAAATGAAAATCATTCCCCTTCATCTCATGTAATGTGTATGGCCCACCCAACTTAGAAATGGGTATCAAACGATCTCAGAATAAACATGATTATGCCATTTATGTTTAATTTTCGACGAGGAAGCATTTTTTTATAAATCTGATAAAATATAAAGAGAGCTTTACAGTCTACTTACCCTAAGATGCAGTGAGTAACCTCAGTGTTATATTCTGGCAGACTACAGAGTTTTTGCTGTTATTATATGGCAAGTATGTAGTAATGGATTACATGCAGAATAGGATCATGAAGAACTCATTTGAATGGCTCATTTAAACATCATTCAGACTCTTTCTCATCTTTTTATAGGCTTTAGCCTCATCTGCCCCGACAGTGATGCATCCTGGAATACCTCTTCAGACAGGAAGTGCTCAGTTTGGAGACTCTTTCCAGCAGGCGCTAATTCTCTGTCCCCCAACAATACAAGGTATTTTAACTTCAGTCAGATGTTATTTATGGATTTCCTGAGCCGACATTGGTGGTAAATAATTAGAGTTGACTGCAAGAAGTCCAGTATTTCTTTTTTATTTATGTCAGTTATTGTAAGCAGAGAATACAATTTATTACAGTATTGCACAGCTAGAAGTTTTACATGCCTGTTTATTACAGTTATAATCATTGCTTGTCACATACTGGAATATGATTGCTTCTATAGGGTTCTGTTATTTCTGAGATTCTAAAAACTCAGACAGAGATTATGAAATCCAGTCATAAGAACTGAATTCACTTTAAAATGCACAACATCTTGGTACTGTATTTGGCAAATTTTAGAAGGATAAATCAATTGTAGTAAAATACAACTGAACAAATCATAATAGGGTAATTATTGCAAATATTTAACCACAAAAGACTTTTTAAATATGAAGTTTGTTTGTGTACAGTTGAAGTCAGAATTATTAGCCCCCCTGAATTATTAGCCTCCGTTTATTTTTTCCCCCAATTTCTGTTTAACGAAGAGAAGATTTCTTTAACACATTTCTAAACATAATAGTTTTAATAACTCATCTATAATAACTGATTTATTTTATCTTTGCCATGATGACAGTAAATAATATTTTACTAGATAATTTTTAAGACACTTCTATACAGCTTAAAGTGACATTAAAGCCTAAACTAGGTTAATTAGGTTAACTAGGCATTGTAGGGTAATAAGGCTATTCATTGTATAATGATAGTTTGTTCTGTAGACTATCGAGAAAAAAATATATAGCTTATAGGGGCTAATAATTTTGACCTTAAAGTGGTGTTTAAAAAATTTAAAAACTGCTTTTATACTAGCCGAAATGAAACGAGTAAGACTTTCTCCAGAAGAAAAAAATATTATCAGACCTATATAAATACACACACACACACATATATATATATATATATATATATATATATATATATATATATATATATATATATATGTATATACACACAAGTTGGACATTTTAATAGTTATTTAGTAGTCAGTATATGCAAGTATATGTAAAATAATGTACCAAAAATCTAACATAGCACAAGAAAAAAAAAGATATTTGTTTTTTCATTAATGACAGTAACCTCACCTCATATCACAGGTCTCCCACCAAACCCAAATAAACCAGCAGGATACTCAGTAAGCATGGAGAGCACAGTCCCGCTGGTGACACAAGCATCTGCCATTCAGCCTCTACAGATCAGACCAGGGGTCATCACACAGGTTAGTGGGAATTGATTGATAATCGTAATTTGATTTGATTAGTCTTTTTTGCACATTTATAGCAAATTGTTTAATTTAGATTTATTGTGACATGGCTTCTGACAACTTCCATTACATGAATTGCTTCTTCATAATCAGAAATGTTTTTAAATGCTATAAATTTTTTGTATTTTTAAATGCAATGCCACATTTGATAGTTGAGGCTGGGGCTTTGGAGTCTATTTATCCATGCCACTAAGTTAAATTACCTTGTTTTATCATTATTATTAACATTATTATTATTTTTGCAGCAAGGGTGGTCAAATCGTGCCCAGCAGATCCTGGTGCCCACCTGGCCTCAGGTGACCCCAGTAGCCCCTGTGGCTCCCTCAGCAACAACATTGGCCTCAGAACCAGTGGCAGGCCCACAGAGACTAGCAGATTGGGGGTGTGTGAAAGCAGGCTCTCTGTCAATTGTATTTGCTCTGCTAAATTTATCTCTCAATTGTTCCCCTGTTGTAACACGTTTCAGACTCTTGCGTGAGTCATCTTTCTTTATACACCTCCACACTGAATTGCTTTGTCTCCCTCCCATCTTTTGCAGGAAAGTTCATTCCCATGGCAACCATTACAGCTCCATGATGCCGCACCATCAGCCACTGTTAACCAACCCGATGGCCATGTCAGCTCATCAGCCTATCAGTATAGGGATAGCCCATGTAGTCTGGCCACAGCCAGCGGCTAACAAGAGAAACAAACCTTCTTCAAACAGGTTAGTCCACAGATCTTTTGTTGTGCGTTTAGAGGAAAATAAACCTAATGGTTGATAATGAAAATAAATAATGGTACTAAACGACTAGTAAATTATCAAAAAGAATAAAATAAACGCTGACATGTTACATTACTGTTCCTTTAGTTAATGTTGATGAATATATTTACTAAAACCACAGTCAGATAACACAATTTTTATTATTGCTTACGAAGTTCACTATGTCAGATTGTGTTTTTTTTTGTTTCCCCCCTCTTCTTCTTGATAAAATTTTGTCTTGTCGTGGGTAACAAATGTGCCAGACTATACTTTCCTTTATGATCAGTCATTGCATGATGTCTACGACGAACAGTACTTCCAAAAGCAATCACAAGTGTTTCTATAACAATATTTCTTAAATCAATTTCATTTTTTTAATCTTATTTCAATCTCAATAAACACTGATACTCACAGATAACTATTAGCTACACTATTTGAGGGCATTCCTCACGACATGGAATAGGATGCAACATACGATCCTTTTTAATATTAAGATATTTTCTTTGCAATCTAAATGTATATTTTCCTGCCATGGGCTGCTTATTAAACAATTCATCTCCTGAACTTGCCACGAGACAGAGATGAGTTACTTTACTCATTACTTAGAGAAGTAATATTATTACGTAACTCATACTTACTTGTAATGCATTACCCTCAACACTGTTGGTTATGTTGTTTTTACTATGCTCTTCTAATTTATCATCCCACATAGATGTAACAACTTCATGCACAGCACCAACTCCCAAAACGTATCATGCCAGTCCCCAAAGATGGTAAACAGTGCCAAAAACACAGAGGAAGAGGCAGCTGATTGTGTGGTGGAGGCAGAGTCAGAGGCGGTGCAAGAGGAGGAGTCTGTGTGCTGTAAGGCGGAACCAGAGTATGAGGACCCGACTGTGTCTCAGAAACAGAGGCAGACCATCGTTATCACTGATTCTCCAAGCCCTGCAGGCAGCATCATCAGTATCAGCAGTGGAACAGATGAAGATGGGCCGGACACTCAAAAACATGCACTAGAGTGAGTTGATCATCTGATGTAATCATTATAAAGAGCTTTTTAAAAGATAAAACAGCTTTTAAAATTGAAAATCAAGCCTGTTCACATATCAATGAGATCAAAACTATTAGCCCTCCTGTGACCTTTTTTTCCTTTTCAAATATCTATAAATAAAATATATAATTATAACAAAGTCTTAATTGTTTTTTTCCAGCTAGAATAAAAGGAATTAAAAAAAAAAAAACATATTAAAGTCAATATTATTAGGCCATTTAAGCTATTTTTTTTTCAATTGGCTTCTACAGAAGAAACTACTGTTATACAATGACTTGCCTAATTATCCAAACTTACCCATTTAGCCTAATTAACTTAGTTAAGCCTTTAAATGTCACTTTAAATGAAATACCAGTATCTTGAAAAAATATATAGTAAAATATTAAGTTCTGTCATCATGGCAATAATAAAAGAAGTCAGTTATTAGAAATGAGCTATCAAAATTATTATGATTAGAAATGGATTGAAAATAATATTTCTGTTAAATAGAAATTGGGGATAAAATATACAGGGTGGCTAATAATTCAGACTTCAACTGTACTTAAAAGGTTAGTTTTTAATTACTTGCCTTCATGTCGTTTGTTTATCTTTGTAACACAAATCAAGATATTTTAGATAAAATCTGAATGCTCCTTTCTGTATAATACAGTGATTAAATACAATTCTGTGGCTTCTGGTCAGCTATAATTCAGACTGGACATTGCATATCTTTGCAATGTGACTATTATCAATGCTGAAACAGTATATAGTGCAGCCCTAGCACTCCCTCATCCTCCATAGACAGTGATGCGATCAAATCCATCATCAAAACAGACCATATTTCTTCAGTGGTTCATTTTAATATTATGAAGCTACAAGAATACTTTTGTATGCACATAAAACAAAAATAATGACTTTATTCAACAGTTTCTTCTTCTCAATGTCTGTTTATTTCACACATTCATGACACTTCTACACACAGGAGTTTGTAGTTTTGGATTTTTTTTTTTCCGTAATCATACCAACCTTTATTTAGAAACTGCATGACATGTTACCTTGTTATCTTTAACTAGTATTTAAATTAGTTTGAAACAATAAAGTGTGACAAACATGTAAAAAGAGAAGAAATCTCGGGGAAAACATTTTTTTTTTCACCACTGTATGCCCTGAATGTCTCAACCCAGAGCAGCAGTGTGTGTGTGTTGTCAAGACAATAGAGAGAACTTTTAAAGAGCATGGTTCCCGCTACATTCATTCTTCCATGGCGGGGTGCGACACCAAAATGCATCCCTTCACGGCTACATTACAGCTTCCTATTCAAAACATTTCGTTATTGTTGTTGTTGTATCCGTGATGTGCGCTATTTGTTAAACCCTTTGAGGTTGCTTGCTGACAGACTGACTGACTGACAGGTGCGTGACGCGTGAAGCCAGCAAACACGACGTAGCTTTCAGTTAGGATAAACACAGTTTTCATAATTTTAATTTATTTATAGATAAAGGCCTGTGGTTCTGCATACAATAACTTTATCTTGCTGGAGTTTATAACTGTTTCACTTTACTTCAAGACACATTAATGTCGCTCTAAGTTTATTGGCGACATTTATAAATATTCCTAGCAAATCTAATAAATGTTGTAGAAACACTCACTACAAAAACGCGCTAAATCGCATTTCAGCAGTGTTTATTTGGGAGCGCACCAAAAGATCTGCGCTTGGCCATCGTAAGTTATATTTGAGGGGTGTGCAAGAGGTTTTGTGCACAAGCAGAGGAAATTGGCGCGCTTCTTTTTCCTTGTCAACATAAAAGGTGTTTTTGGAAAGGAAAAAAAAACAAAACTGTTTACAAAGAGTCAACATATGTGCGAGTTGTCATTGTCTTTTCATTATTTTCATTATGCATCGCGCGCACTTGAACCGCAAGAGAGAGAAAGAGAGAGAACATTATCAAGACATAATCTTTAAAATAATGATTTCTATTAAAAATGTAAAAAGGTTTTGTGATTATAATAATAAAAGCAGGGCATTAAATAAATGCATATTTTCCGTGGAGCGAGCGATTTGAGGAAGTCCGCTATTTTTATTTGACTGAAGAAAAAAGAACATGATTAAAAAAAAAAAACAGCCTATGCCGGTTCTTAAAAAGGATTCAGTCAGTATTTTCGTTTTGTAATCTAAATGAATAATTTAAATGTAAAATTAGGGCAGGCCTATTTATTTTATTCATTTTCTTTAGTTTATTCTGGTTTTCTATGCTGTTGGAAAGATGGCAGGTGCGTGAAGACGTTCTGTTATTAATATGTTCGCATGTTAAAATAAATCAGTATTTTAAATTGCAATATTTAATGTGTCAGACACAAAATAGACACGTCAGTTTAAAAAAAAAAAAAGTGTATTAATAATTTTATATTAATTTGACCAGTTAACTGTTAATATCCGATTAATGACCAGTGGTTGTCCGTTAGCAACATTAACCGAAATGAGCATCCGTACTTGTCATTAATAGCTAGTTTAGTTTCAAATATAAGGTATCCATTATTTTTCATTTACGGTGGCAAATTAAATATCATTTAAGGTGTCAAATATTGCTTAAGTTTAATGAAGAATATGAAAACTTTAGGATCAACAATAGGGATTCACCGATACCATATTTTAAAAATTCGATCCTGATACAAAAATTCTGAGTATCAACCGATACAGATCCGATCCTGATACTGTGCTGGTCCAGCTTTCAATATTTTGCTTTGAAATCCATAATAGGCTACCACTATTGACCCTAATTGTTGGTAAATTAGCCACCCTTTTAACAAAGCCTGATATTTTCCTGCAGGTTGGACGCAGATTAAAATAAACTGTCTGAGGCCAGTTTTACTTAATATACATGTCCTCTACTAAACTCGCTGTGAGTTAGATGGAGAAAATGAAAGCACATCAGCACAGAGGAAAAATCCAATGCTCAAGACATAATCTTTCAAATTATGTGACAGGTTTGTGAAACAACATTTACAGTTAGGGATGTCCCGATCAGGTTTTTTTGCCCTCGAGTCAGAGTCATTTGATTTTGAGTATCTACTGATAACGAAACCCGATTCGAGACCACTATAATACATAAAAAAAAGAATAAAGAAGAGCGAAGAAACAGACCCCTATTTGTTCCCTATTTTTTAATTAATCTCATTTTAACATTCAACAACTGTTTTCAAACAGAGCACTTCTGTGAGGTAGCTTGAACAATCAAGTAATAAATAACATAAATTCTTCTCTTTTAGAGTTCAAAAGCAACAGTAAGTATAAAGAAAATGTAATATTAAAGCAAATCGCACCTCAACTTAAAATACTCAGCATGCAATTATAATAGTTCCAGACCACAGACATACTTGCGATTTCCACTTCCCAAAAATATGCTGTATCAAACCAATGTTCGATTTAAGTATCGGGATCGTTGCATCCACAATAAACAGTCAATGTACTAGCACAAAGAACATACTCTGTATCATTATCAAAATAAATCCCAGGAAATATATATAAAAAAAATAATAATAGCCTTAATGTTGCTTAACTCATTTGTGACAGAATAATGCAAAACACACAAAAAGCAGTGTTAACGAATGCTCCCTCTGTTTCAGGTGTAAGGGTAGCCCAGACTGTGAGGCATGTCAGAGCACACTGAATATGGAGCGTGTTTGTTCCCTGAGCAGTCCTGATTCAACACTCAGCACCAGTTCATCAGCTTCAGAACAGTCCAGCGCCTCCCCCTGCAAGAGACCCAACAGGTCTGTCTTTCTCAGATATTTACAGCATAGTTTACCCCTCCAAATATCCTGCTAACTTTTAGTCAACCTTGACTTGTTTCAAACCAGTTTGAAGTTTTTTTAAAGATTTTGTCTGTTGGACACAAAAGAAGCAACATTGAGGAACATTGGAATGTTATGATAACCATTGACTTTTTTATTTATCCTACTACGTATGCCAATGGTTACTGGTAAACATATGCAAAACACAAGCTTCAAAAAGCTATACTGAATGTTTATTTAAAACACTCTTTATTAGAGATAAGTATGTTCCTTGTTCTGTTTTGAGTGGTTTATGTATGTCATATCAATATGTTATGTCTTGTTTATCAGTATGTCAGATGATGAGCGTGAGAGTGGGTGTGATACGGTGGACGGCTCGCCTGCATCGGTGTCCTCCAGTCGAGCTGACAGTCCCTTCCTGGAGGCTACCTATATTAATGACAACAACCAGAACTGCAAAGCTACTGGAAGTACAGAGACAGAGTCTGCCAAGCTGCCTGTCCGCACCATGGTGGTGCCACCAATGCGGGTTCAGAATGAGCCAGTGGGGCGAACAGGTAAGCAATCCATCAGAGTCGGTCAAAATCACTGATGAATCAAGTTAAGTGATATTGATGTATGGTATATAAAGTCAGGTTTAAATAACCACAACTAGGCATGGGACGATAACCGGTTTTAAGGTGCATTAAAATTTTCTGTTATACTATTCCTAAGGTATTTGTAAATTTTATAGATTTTATTTTACATGTTATTTTACTGAAGCCTTCATACTGTATCAAAAGCTACTGATCAGACTAAGATTCAGAAAGAATATGAAAAACAATTTACTTATAAGCCAACATCTAGCATGTTGTAGAGCTGAACAGGCTTTACTGTATATCCACTGAAAAAATATCTACAAAGATACTCTTTCAAGCTGTAAAGAAATCTGTGTTTTTAAAACTAATGAAAGAACATAAGTTAAGTAAAATATATTGTGTTTAATGGGGAAAAATGTTGTTCGTAAGCCAGACATTTAAATAGAACATATTTTAGAGCAGTAGTTACAGTACTGTAATACTATTAAACCATGATATTTTTATCCAAGGTTATCATACTGTCAGAGTCTTATTGTGAATCTTGAAGTGACAATATGAAATCTCAAATTATATTTTAAAATCAGCTTATTTTACAGTCTAAGTCTGTATGTAAATGTTTAGCTGATCATGAGAACCATTTCTTTTAGTATGACCTCTGTATATAGATGTCAGGTTTATTTCAAGTGAATAGCTCAAAATTAAGCAAAAATGCTGTGCTAGCTAGCTTGCTTTTTAATTAGGTGGTGTGCTTTGGAATTTGTTTATGTGTCTTTTTGAATGAGACCTATTATGCCCCTTTTTACAAGATGTTAAATAAATCTCAGATGTCCCTGGAGTCTGTGTGTGAATTTTCAGCTCAAAATACCACACACATAATTTTTTTTTATATCTCTTTGAAACTGCTCTTTTTAGGCTTTAATCCAAATGGTGCCATTTTGGTTCATTTTAAATTTAAAGGGGTGGTCCACTACGATATTATATTTTAAACTTCAGTTGATGTGTAATGTATCTGTGTGAACATAAACAGCATCTCTGAATGTAAAATATTCAAAGTTTAATGCAAAGGGAGACCTTGATTTGTACAGAGTTAGCTTAGCAACGCCTACAATTAACGAATTTTGGGGACTACAAAAAATACTTCCGCCCCCTGTGAGATCACAAAAGTTCGTTATTGCGCATCCCACACTGCGCAGGTAAAGGCCGTGGCCAGAGGCGCTGTAACGTTACTGCAGAGAGAGAAATGCCATCCTGCTGTTTCCACAGAGCTGTTCTGTTTCTGTTGTTGGGCTTCCAAATGACACGACCCAAACACAGAAGTGCTTACAGTTCAATATTAATTATGTTCCAGAGAACTATAAAATACATAGCAAGCATGATTTGACAAAACACAGCTTCCAGAATCTCTCCCAGTTTAGTGCTGGATTCAGTTAAAATCTTCTCAAAGATGGAGCAAGGAGACGCTGTGAACTCTGAGTCATGACCTGTAAGTGTTTTTATTTGTTAAAATTGATCATGACATGTACAGTGTCTAACTTTAACGGTGTGTTGTAGCAAAGATGTAAACAACGGGAAATTATGGTAACCGCTAACGACTTAGCTAACGTTACAAATCTATATTTATCAAACGGCTGTAAACGCACACACACACATACACATACACGCACTCTTGGCCAGCACCTGCGTCTCTCTGTGTGAGACGGCAGAATTTCTCTCTATAGGCAGCTATGCTATGCGTTTTACAACTCGGACAATAAAGTCGCAAAAGATATGTGAACGATTCATGTTACTTACACAGGCATATTCCGCATATGCATGAAAGACGTCCTGTAACGCATTGATTTAAAAAAAAATACAGCAATGATTTCCCAACTGGAGTGTAACATCAAAAACAAATCAATCCAGGCTCACAAAGGTCTCATCTCACATCTTGTGCTTTATTCTGTCACCACAGAAAATAACTTAATCCGAGCATGAGAGAAAAAGAACAATAAAAATCTCTCCCGCGCACATGCGCTTCTCGTGTTACAAATACTTCATCGTATACACGCATAAACACACTAAAAGGCACAGAAACAGTTAAAGGAGCCGCATCCCATTTTCACTCGTTACAGACACGTGTTGACTGACTGACTGACTGACTGACTGTTTACACAAAACGCGCGTGCTTGTCAGGGCGTGACGTGAAGCCGATCGGCGTATCACAGCATATTATGATGATGACCAATCAGAGTCACTTGAGGGTGGGCCTTTTAGAGGAACTAGGAAATATGACAGTCGTTTTCATGTTAGCTGAGTAGCTGTGTATAATCAAAGTGAGATTTATGAAAAAATAACACGATTTCCTTCAAGTTAAACATGAGCACACATTGCTTTGCATCTTATTAACACAACCAAGCCTTAAAAATAACATTCTGGACCACCCCTTTAAATGAGATGAATGTGCTTTTTTCCTAAAGAGGGCGGAGCTACAAACACATTATCTTTGTGATAATGTTATCTTTGTGCTAACGTTATCTTTGTGAACCTGAAAATGTCAAAAGGAGTGGTTTAGAACAAGGTAGTATTTGGAGACTATAGTTTTCAATTTCGCAATTTTGCTCCTTCAAACTCCACATCTACAGTATAATGCTTTTTAGTTGCTGACATTATCTTCAGCAAGTACAGTGCGAAAATTCTCATGGCAGATGACTGCTTTTCACTTGAGGGACAGATAGTAATTAATGGGTGGGGCTTTCCCCCTCTGATGACATGTACAAATAGAACATTTCAATTAAAGTGTTTCTGCAGACTGTTTTTATGAATTGTAATTATAAAAATAGAATTTAAAAAAGTGATTTTTGCATAATATGTCGCCTTTTAGGGGTGATGGCTAAGTTTGTCTGCTCTGTCTTATATGCAGTAATAGAACCATCATGTCCACCCAAAGGGCGCAGTGGTTCCAACAGACAGCTGCCCTACTCAACATTATTGGTGAATCGACAACAGAAGTCCACACCGGCTTTCCCGCCCCTGCAGCCCCCTCAACAGCAGCTTTTTGGACAGGTTTGGACTGTTTTCATTTTTCCTGCTTCTTAACCTTCTGCTTTTAAACGTAATCTACAGGGGGGAAAAATATATACTTTACATTTTATAAAAGGTTTTCTATTTCAACCCTCTCATGAATAAGTTGATCACTGATTCCCCTGCAGAAGTTTTTAATATGACCAATATTCAGATCACGTCACTTTAAAGTTTGTCTAGAAATGTGTCATTTATCATATGATGCCCCGCAGCCCAATAATTTATGTATACATCACATTTCTTATTTATCTTTTCTTCAAAAGATGTATCCTAATTTGATTAAAAAATATGTGATATCCCAATTCTTAAATATGCGTGAGAACACATATTTCATCAGTTATACAGCTTAATATTGATCATGTTATTTGATTTATCAATGGTAATATGGGTACTGCCATGTTAGTCCACTCTGCAGTTTAGAGATTAGTGCTGCTGTTAATTCATTAACTTCTACCAAAGTACATGGCAGTCAGTGTCTGTTTAATTGAGAGATTAATAGAATAAGTGTTCTAGTACCCTCAAAATGATGTGTATCTAATGTGAATTAACTGCATCATCCTTTTATGTTTAAAAATAAATACTGCTATTGCCATATACACCAGCTTGTATTTTTCAAACTATAAATGTTTGATATTGCATGTACGTATGTGCATTTAAACATCTGAAACCTAAAATGAATGTTATTTGTTTGAAAACACTGATAAATTATGATTTACGTCAAGTGCCGTGCACATCATTATCTAGATAAGCACAGGGCATTGCAGGAAAACAGATTCGAATTTAGCAGCTAATCATGTGACACACTGAACATTCTAATCACACCAGAGGAAGCATATGCAATAAGAAACAGCCAAGACTGATCACACCAGTGTTAAAGACAAAATAGAATAATAATATACCGTATATAGACAGGGTTTTTTTGTTTTTGCTACTTTATTCTCCCTTGAGATTCACTTATAACTAAAGCTATAATCACTTGTTCCTGATGTTAGGGTCCTCCTTAAGGCTCTACAGTCATGTAGACTTGCTACTTAAATTGAAGATGTCATTTGAAGAAATTTTTTTGTAATACTGCATTCTAATCCTCCTGTTGTCAGGTATAGCTAAAACAGATTAGGTTTATCAGTGATTCAGCCTTTTTTAATCTTTACTATAACATGTAGACATTTTTAAGCGTCCATATATATCATTAGCCATATTACATAACAGTTCAATAAAAAATTGATTTCTCAACCCATGATCCTTTTAAAACAAATTATAGTGTACTATTTATTGGTTTTTGTCTATTAAAAAAAAAAGAAAAAAGAAAGAAAAGAAATCTTGTTTGATATAAACTTCTATATTGGTCTTATTTGTGTTGACTTTTCAGTTTTATAGATGTGAATTGATTGTAAAGTAGACTAAACTGACCCAAACTGGTTTGTACTTTAGGTCCAGCATTATGGCTCATCCCACCAGGAGTGGAATGGGAACTACAGTCACCGGCGACCCCAGGCGTTCATCCCACCCACCGTACACAGCCACACTTTCACTCTGCCTCATGGTAGTCCCACTCACACAACTCACCCCCCTCAATCGCACCTGGGCGTCCACCCTCACACCCAGCCAGCTTTACTGTCCTACCCCCCGTCAGGCCCCCTGGTGACAAATGCCCCCATGGCCCACCTCTTGGCATCACCTGGGGCTACACGAAATCATGTTTTTCAGCCAGCGTATGGCCTCTCTCATCCTGCGGGTCACCTTTTGCACCAGGTCACTGTGGGGATCAATCGTCTCCTACCCTCACCCACCATCCACCCTCAAGGTCAATTCAAACCCTTGTTCCCCCCTCACTCCTTCATTGCATCACCCGCATATGCAGGCTTTCCCCTAAGCCCCACCAAACTAAACCAATACCCATATGTCTGAGACTCGCTTCACAAGCCTCTGGAGGGCCGTCAACATGGACGAAATGCCGTGCTCTCTGCAGAAACCACCAACCACCTGGTTTTCAGACCATGGCTAAGAAAGAAAAGCGGTTTCTCTGGATTATGTAGACTTGAGTGCAATTAATATGAGCTTTAAAAAGGAAATGTTGGGAAAGTTTTTTGCAAGTAGACAAAGAAAGTGCACGGTTGAGAATCAAGCGAATTGGATAAAAAAAAAAAAACTGTTTTGCACATTTGATACATCACCTTATCGGATTTTCAGATCTCTAGATTTGAGCACTGCTCAAACGTCAACAATGGATGGTGTCCAAAATCATGTGATGGTCAACTTATTTTTATACATTGCCTTTATCTTGTATACAACACATATTTGTTTGTAAAGACAGCCCAGTATGGTGTTCACAACCGATGAAATGTGTCTGTGTTTTCATGCGTTCCAAGTATTTGTACTTACTTCGTCTTTGGTGTTGTTTGGAATGGAGTCTCCTATTGGAGTTGTTTGTCACATGCTGCATGTGTTGCATGATGTTGATCAGAGAGAAACCTATAGGGGCTCTTTACGTGTCGACAGGCTCGCTGCATTGTTGTCCCCAGCCATAGTGCCTTATATATCGGCAGTTGTTCGTGTTCTACTACACTATCTTTCTCTGTGTGTATATATAATGTGTTTGTGTACGTACGTGTCCTGGACTGCAGCACTTGCAATTCAAATCAGTCCGTGCGTTTTAGTTTTAGTTGATTTTTTTTTTTTTGCGTGTGCGTGCGTGTGTATATGTATTACGTATATACACACTGGTGTATTATTTCATGCATAGATAGGCATCAATGTACTGCATTGCACAAACCGCAGTGCTTATTTTTGGATCCAATGTATATCTGAGATGTAGTGAGTTTCTTTACGTTATTTCTTGGAAGATGACGGCATGCTTTTGCTGCTGCAAATGCTTGCTGTTGGTTTTGTTATTTTTATTCTTTATTTTTCGTTGATGTTATCTCGTATCTGGATATGTAGAAATTAGTTTGAATTTCTATTCAGAAAAATCTACAAAACTAACAGTATTTGTACTGTTTAGTAAAACTGCAATACAATCTATATAGTTAGAAGTTTGTTATTTCCTTTTGTGTATTTAGTTCTTTGGGTTTGTGTGTGTGTGTGTGTTTGTTGTTTTGTGTGGTGGGCATGGCTTCGACTAGATGAAGACACAAATGCAAATATCGGTCTTTGATTCAGGGTCATGGATTCATCTTAGCCTGAGCAGACCATGCAGTATTTGATGTATAGACACATGAGTATATATAATAGAGCTAGTTTATTTAGTGCTGAAGCTTGACACGGTGTGTTTAAGGTGTGCAATCCTCATTTATGCATGTGTGAATCGAGTTCTTTCTTAATTATACCATTATATCATATGTTGAAAGCTTGTTGGTGTCAATTGCATTTTATACATTCCGTCAGGGAGAAATTAAAATATAGTGTGTGTCTCATATAGAGTGCTTATTTAGTTTTTTCTGTTTGTTCTGCTTGGTTTCTGTGTTTTTGCCTCTTAATGAAGTTGCTTGTGTACCACCAAAGACTGTAATTCTAAAGGCTCTGTTCCAAACCTAGTGATCTATCTAAGCATATGATATTTCAGTTTATCATCGTTATACTCTTAATAAAAATGCTGAGAAATGGGAAAAATCCCATTTTAGCCTTGATAATCTACAATGATCAGTCATGGATATAGCATTAGAAGTGCTGTAAACTAGAAGTTATCGGTCACAGAAATTTGTTGGTGATCATTTTTGGCTACACAATCTAACGGTCAAATTAAGTTGTTACAACTCTTTGTATCTCGTAACATGTTAGGCATCAGCAGTTTGATTCAACCATGCTTTATTGGTTGTTCATGCTGTAACCCCTTCAGTTCTGTCATTACTGTGTGTTACAACAAAAAGTCCTTGTCAACATGGGTTTAGACTGGAAACTACAGTTTCCTCCTATAGCCCAAAGATATGCAGGCTAGGTAAAGGAGTCCAAATTGTTTTCTTCTGCTAGGTTGTGTCCAACTCAGGGCAGTCTTTATAGTTTGGTGCTGGTTCTTTCTGAAAAAAAAAAAAAAAAAAAAAAAAAAAAAAAAAAAAACGTCAGATGCCACAGCATTGGAACTCAGTAAATATGCTTTGACTCCATTCTCTTCACTGGTAGTAATTGTGTATTTTCATAGGCCAGAATATATTACATACTTCCGAGGCATCCATTGTCTGGCTTGGATTCTGCTCTGGCACTGATCTTATTAATTTCACCCCTCTGCAGCATTCTGTGGGCTACAGCAGAACTGGTTTGATAAAGCTTTCGTACAGACAAAGCTGTGCTGTGTTGCAGTATTGGCTAGATTTCAAGAATATCTTTAATCTGACTTGTAAGTCCACTAGATAGCTTTCTCAAGGTCACCCACTGAAGCTAAGCAGAGTTGTATCTGGTCAGAACCTGGATGGGAGACCATGTGGTTGCTAAAAACTTGGTTCCTACTGGAAAAGACACTACTATTACCAGCAGGGGACGCTAACCCTGTGGTCTGTTTGGGTTTGACAGTGTAGTCTTTTAATGTCAGTGAGCAAAAGTCTTTGGATGAAAATTGGTGATTAAAATCCCAGGATGTCTTTTGAAAAAAAGGACCGGGCATCATGGCCAAACTTACCTACTGGCCTCTGTCCATCATGGCCTCCTAACTATCCCCATTACATCTAATTGGTTTTATCACTCTGTCTGCTCTCCACCAATAAGTTGGTTTGTGGTGGGGCACAGAATGACTGCTGTTGTGTCATCCTGGTGGATACTGCACACTGGTGGTGGTTGAGGAGATTACCCTGCAATCTCTGAAGCACATTGGGTGGTTTTTGCATTTAGATTTTTCTTTTAACTATTCAGGCCACAATTCTTGGGAACTTTTGAAATCTGACTACAAGTAAAGTCTCTTACAGCAAAATGATTGGCAAAGTCAACTGTTACTTTCCCACATGATCCACTTGATGGATCAGAAATAATTTCAAATGTGTCTGCCTTACAACAGGGTTGTCCAAACTTGTTCCTGAAAGTCCATTGTGCTACAGAGTTTAACTTGGCTCCAATTTTTAGGGTGTACTCGCACTAGGTACAGTTGCTTTGACCCTTGCCGAAGCGCAGTTGTCCACCTCCCCTCTTCCCCGACAGCCTGCACTCACACACTGCATTTTGCCTTCCAAATCTGAGCACGCTTACCCCATCTATAATGCGATTGTTCAGTTAAAGAAGAAGAGAAGAGCTCTTGTTCAGCACAGTGGACATTGCTTCAGTTATATTGTTTTAGTCATTTGTGATGCAGTGACATGCAGTCAAATATTTTGCTTAACAGGTCCACAACTTTTGACACTCATAAAAGTCCTAAAAACAAACTGGAAAACGCACCTGGGCACGGTTCGAATACCATAGTGTGAGTGCACCCTAATTGAACATACCTCAATCTACTAATTAATGTCTTTTGGCTTAGTAGGAACTTGTAGGCAAGTGTGCTGGAGATAGTTGGAGCAGGATTAGAGGGCCAGTGGTCTACAGTGATGTCACCTTTGAACTTCTTGAAGAATATGTCATTTTAATGGAAATACATAGATAAGATAGCTTTTCCATTTCATGACAGGAGTATTCTGTCTCAAAGTCTAGAGTAAATTTGATGTGTAGAGCAGTTTTCGGTTTGAGCAGTGTGATGTTTCCAAGAGGAAGAAGTTCTTTACAACCTATTCCTCCTCTAAATTCATCTTATTCTTGTTTGAGTTTCAGGTCAGTTGTTTTGTCAATTCTTTGTAGAACAACTGTACAGACATCTTTTGATAGAACTGAGATCTATCCAACTGAGATTCAGTTGTCAGAGCTCCCTTGTCCAGAGATCTCCCTTCTCTGGGAGTTTCACAATGATGCCTATGTTCCAGTCTTCTGGGTGGGTCTCTTGTTCCCAGACATTAAAGTGTCAAGGTCAGACAGCAGGCATGGAATCAGTTTCCCATTTTTCATGGTTTTGATGGAAAGCCTAAGTTCTGCCTCAATAATGAGTGCATTGGGGGGAAATTAAGATGTCTGACACATTTTAAATGCACTCATGCAAAAGAGTTTCAATTTAAAATTGTTAAAGTACCCAGTATTCCTGTGATTTTATTTTTGTTCTTACAAGAGTAAGAGCTGTTAGCTTAGCAACATGCTAGTATCAAATTCATTTGAAATAAGTTTCACAAAGACTTTTGTGAATTAATGCTTATGTGATGCATTTTATATTGTCTGCATATGTAGGCAGTAGATGGCAAGGCAGCTCACTAGAATTTGGAACGGAGCCATTTTTCTGAGCAAGGTAGCTACTCTCTCTGCATAGACCTCACGTATACTGTAGTAATTCTAGTTAAAGGGTAAATTTCAAAAACTGTATTTAAAAAATGGCTGAGGTTACGTTTAGCTTTTTGAACAAGTAATAAGTCGTATCATCTATCTTGAATGTATCATAGACAAGCTGCTATATATTGATTGCCACTTCGGATAGCTGTGAAATTAGATTAGACTAGTTCATATCTGCATATGTTTATTTGTATGGGTCTCTCTGATTGCCTAAACTAGAAGTGGATTTTGATTTTTGAGTAAATTTTTTGCTTCAATGTTTGGAGTGTCATTGTAACTACTGTATTGCTGATATTGGACATTTAGAATTTTATTCTTTTTCAAATCAGTATTGTATCTTCATTAACGTTCTGGCTCATCACTGCATATTAATGGATGTATTTGTGTAACTTAATTTAGTTTTTTTTCTATGTTTAATTGTTTATCTACGTTTATGACTTATAATAGCTTGCAGGATTGATTTAACTTCATTCGATTTACAAGTTGATTGCAGAAATACAAGCATTAGTATTTTTGTCAAATATCATTTTTTTCGGTTAATATAAACAACAAAGCCCGATCTCATTATGAAATGTAACTATTTTATGCATTGTCAGAAAAAATGGCTAATTTGTGCAAATTTGTATGATTTCATTGATATATATTCTAGATACTGCATGTGTCAATACCGCTGCCACATTTGTACAGTTCTCCCAAGATAAAAGTTATTCAACCGCACTAGTCGAGACTAAAGCAGATTTGAAGAAGCTAGACTTTTGCGCTGCCTACAGGTGTAGTAACAAGCAAACAAAGAAAACAAAGCATAAAGGCAAAAACTTTCATAGGAAAGATTTTATTTTTTACATTTTTGTATGTTACGAACTTTTGTGCTAAACAAGTAGCGTTATTGATGATAATGCAGTCACTTACTATACTGACCATAAGGCAAAGTAGCACCAACTTGCGCTAAATTTTAGACTTATGCTATTCATTCATTTATTTTCTTTTCGGCGTAGTCCCTTTAATAATCTTGGGGGCACCACAGCAGAATTAACTGCCAACCTATTCAGCACATGTTTTACGCAGCGGATGCCCTTCTAGCTGCAACCCATCACTGGGAAACATCCATACACTCTCATTCACACACATTCACTACGGACAATTTTAGCTTAGCTTACCCAATTTACCTGTGCCGCATGTCTTTGGACTTGTAGGGGAAACTGGAGCACCCAGAGTCAACCTGTGCGAACATGGGAAGAACATGCAAACTCCACAGAAATCCCAACTGACCCAGCTGTGGCTCGAACCAGCAACCTTCTTGCTGTGAGGTGACAGCACTACCTACTGCGCCACTGCATTGCCCCAGGCTTATGATAGTTTTGTCTAATAAATCAGCAAACAATGTAAATAAAATATGGCAAGACGTTGCGGTGCCAGAAACTTGTATTATTGTTGGCTAAATGAAGTAACGGCTAGTTTTTGAAGTAACTTAAAATGGTGCCAGATAACATAACTGTGCCTGCGCCTGAATGTGCATACTTTCCACCCTAAATTATTGAATATTACAAATGATGTATATTATGGAGACCAGAAAGGTGGATATGCACATTGAGATGCAGGGATATCGATGGTCGAGTAGTTCATAACAAAGATTCATTTACAAACGAATCACTCCCTCTGTTATAATTAGAAATGAAAGCAAGTGTCAAATTAAATTTAACAGGGAAGGTGGATAATATATTTCCATGCACACAAACATACGCCTGTGCGGTCACATATCCATTGATATAGAAAAGTGATGTAAAATTATAATTTTCGCTATTCAAAAAAAAATTAGAAATAATAAAAAAAAAAAAAAAATATATATATATATATATATATATATATATAGCTTCTGAGGGCAGTCCTCCACTGCACGTTGGTGCCACATTAATTTCAAAGGAGAACTACCCTGTACTAAAATGGCGGCTCTATTGATGCATTTCATCCAGTAGACGATAATAGTGTCGGTGACATCTAATGTAAATATCTGGGATATGATTTAATTTTTTTTTTTAATTTACAATTGTTAAAAAATGCCCTGCCCCCAGCCCCCACCCCTAACCCTCTATGGAAAATCATGATATCGCACAAATAAGTTTGAATTAGTCACTAAATCAAAACATTATGAATTACCATTGGATTATGTTGATCAACCCCATAACCTCATGCCACTGAGCACTTATTAAAATGCTATTGTGCAGTAAACACATGGCCATGTTTTGATATGAGAGTACAGCGTTGTGATTTAAATGAATTTAGTGTGATTTTATTAATGTTTACCATTTGAAAATTAAGAACATGTTTTTAACAAATGATCACTGATGTCAGCTGATATGTTTGGTGTTTGGTCATGTATTATTATTATTATTTGTTTTTTGAACAGTGCAAGCAACACTGTGTGTGCCTTGAGTGAAATATTGGTAACGACACATTCACTTTGCAAAGTATTCAGCTCACCCACTGACCAGACCAAATATGAGAAAGAACAAACAGTATAACTCTCCATTCCAGGGATCAAAAACGTGTAGAAGAGTCAAATCGTAGATTATGTTTATAGATCTAGTTACTCATAACTAGCTGATTTTAACAATTAAAAGCCTTTATGTAATTGCAATTCTCAAGAATGTAAAATGTTTTGATCCCTGTGAAATGGCATTCACCAGCATTTAGCCTGTCAGTATAAAAGACTGTACTCAACACTTTCAATATTTACTGTATGTTCATGTTCAAACAAATTTAAATGGATATGATTTCTGTTTAACTCCTTTTCTATTAACAGCGTTCAATAAACATAAATGCCACCGTATTAATGACATTAATGCTTTTATTTGATTTTTGGAGAAATGATCTATCTCAGTATGATGATGAATTAGTTTTATCTGAATTATATACCATGCAATCTGAAATTGGCTGCTTTTTGAATTGTGTATACACAGGTTTCTATCATACTTTATCATCTGACGAAAGTTACTTCACACTGCAAGTTATGGATTTCATGTATCAATTACTCGTTTGATTAATCAAGAGTTGATCGAATTCAATTGTTCTTCACTGTTTTGATATTCGTAGACTTGTGGCTTTTCGTTTAGCGTTTCGTTTCCTTTGCTTATTTGATATGATGCTACACTAGTTTGTCACGTAGCACTTGCACTGTGCAATATTTAACAGTATGAGGACTGGGGAAATGTAACCCTTTGGATATCATGTCTTTACAGAGTGTAATTGATGTTTCCTCTCTAGTTCTCAGTGAATAAAGATGTGACCAAGCCTTCTCTACTTTGTCACATTAAACAGAATTTCCAGGTGACTTTTGGTGAGTGAATAAGAATCCATGGTGTTTTGTTGTCAAGATTCACTTTGAATACAAAAGAAAATAAAGGAAAAATAGAAAAACTACAATCTTGTTGCGAACCTTTCTAAGTTTGCTTTTAGGAAACATAAACAAAGTTCTCTCAAACTTTAATATTGACTTACTAGATGTATGTAATGATAATTAAAAATATAGATTTCACATATTAATAGATTGAAGCATTATACGTGATTGTAATGTGTTTTTGTATGTTTCATTGTCGGTAACCACAAGATAAGGTTTTTTTTTTTTTTTGAGAGAGAGTCATGGAATCATTCATTCAGACCATTTCGGGTTTTTTTTTCTATTTTTCTGTTAGGTTGCAGCTTGGGTAACAATTTAATATTCATTATTAAAGCAAAAATAAACGGACATTTGCCCCTTTTACACAGTGATATCGGATAATATTTGGAAAATGTCTGGAACGACTTTACCAGTAAATTTAAATATGTTGTCTTAATATTACAAGGTTGTATCTGACATTTTTGTCAAAATTTAGTTATTGACATATTCTTATGAAATGACAACTTATTTACATTATGGAATGTTATTTTATAAGTGGTTTACATTTTAAGACTTTTTGTTTAAAAAAACAAATGTTACACACATACTGTTTGCTATGGAATGCAAAAACTTTAAAGCTCAAAATTATTCAGAACGCAGAGAGAACCTTAGAATTCCAAGGTGACTTTGTGCTGTTCACACGGACAAGGACGTTACGGAATTTTTACAGAAAAGACCATTTACACATCTATACCAGAATACCAGTGAATTCTGACATCATTAACCATAAATGGTGGTTCATTGAATGAAATGTGATGTCCATGTCAAAAAAATAAATAAATAAATGAGCTCTAAGTGTACGCTCACATCGAAAATGGCGAGAGCATCAAAGTAGCCGGAAGTCATTCATTTTCAATGAGAGCCGGCGGAGAGGAGCAGCACGGCGCGTCTTTGCTGGTTTGGGCGTCGAGGAGAGTTGAATTTAATTCAACTTTATGGTAATGAGCTATGACACGGTTCAGCAGCAAGCAATCAGAATAAAGAAGTTCACCGCTTGAGAGGAGTCCAGAGAACACAGACCTGTGAACTTTGGTTCCGACCACAGTTGATCCCAAGGGTTTGCTGGTTTGGTTTCCCAATTATTTACAATGTTTTCTTACAGAAACATGCTTTAAATAAGTTACTGGCGAGTTACTGATGTGCAATTATGTTATATATTTATCTTTAAAAAAAAGCGGGAATCTGATGTGACAATACAAAACAGTATTGCTGCTTCAGGATATTTCAGACATATGGACACATTGGATAACTAAGTGAAGCAAAGCCACACCACATGCAACTTGATCTTCCATTGTTAAATGAAATTGATAAAAAGTGTGCAACATTTTCACGCTAGAAAGCATGTATTATGCAGGAATGTAACTGATATACTGCAACGCCCCTTTTAAATACAAGATCAGTGTATTGAATTTTGACGCTCTCGCTGCAGTAACTGAAGGCAGACAGCGTTGACGCCAGGGTGGACAGAGAGCTTTAATGCTCTCGGTGTGCATGCACAGTAACACAGATGAACGTAGAGTGTGCAGGTATACTCGCAGTGGTTTATCAAAAGCATTTTATTAATAATATTTTCAACATTTGGCACTAGAGAGGAATATAGCGTTACGTTATCCGACCAACAGGTTGCAGCTAAATGTGTCTGGAGAAGGATTTAAAGGCATTTATTTTCATAAACAGCACAAATGTGAATGTGTCTGGCTGGAGTAGATGTCTCACATCAGCATGTTATAAGCATGAATGCACTCTTTCTTGCAATTTTCCTTCTGCATTCACACAGAGCAGCATTCCAGCAAAATATCAGTAATGTTACAACTTTTTTTACCG